GATGAACTCTGATTATCTGAATATAAACATGTGCTTGGTTTACATGAGTGCAATAGTATGTTGCATTGCAAACTATCAACCACTCTAACAGCACCCTAGAAACGTTTGATAGTGGATAAAGGAAAATTACTTGAAAAATCATAGAAGTGCTGCAACATGGCAAGCACACTTAAGCTCCTCACCCTCACTCGTCCCTACATAGCCTTTACAGTAAATCAGGTATGCTGGTTTATGCACGCACCCACGAATGTCCACATGGAGGCATTAAAATGCATAATCCGATGCTTGAAGTTGCACAATTAATATTACATACCTAAAAACATGTAGATGATATAAGTTTTGCTTCTTTCATTGGCTACTCCGATACCAGCTGGGTGGGAGATCTTGACTCGCATAGGTCGGTCTCAAGATATGCATTTATTTTGAAAGACACTTGGTATCTTGTAGTAAGAAGCAAAAGTTCGTGGCATGATCAAGTATGAGCATTGGATTATATGGATACGAAATCTGATCATATAACTTGGTTATAAAGTATAACAACGAACCTTCTATTGTGATAATTGGAGGTTCTTGCTATTGTCGCTAATCATATTTCTCTTGACTGCACGAAGCACTTAGTATTAATTATCTTTTTGTGCACGAGAAGATAGAAGCAGAGGTGATTCAAATGATTATATTTGCATCGAGAATCAAATTGTTGACATTTTTACCGAAGGGCTCACCAGTGAGTGACATCACTTTCTAAAAGACAATTTATACATGTCCAAGCATGATTGACTATGAGGGGGTGTTAGACTATGTATCATGTACAAGGGGCATTGATATCATAGTTATCGAGTCCTCCACCTTGGGAGGCAATTCTACTCTGAAATCTCACTCTAGCACTTCGGAAAAGGGATCTTCATGGAATCTCATTTTCTAATTTAGGTTTCTCACTGCCCACCATTAAGGAATCTCAATCCTGAGTGATTTAGGATCTACATTCCACCACATTGAGTCTTGGGCTTATAAGTGCACCAAACCGTGATTTGATTTACATGTTATTGAAGTTTTGATAACGCGTAATCAAGATTCAAATGCAAATGTCTAGAGTGAGAGAATGATTATCACATAAAAGAGTTTATAAATTGATACAACAAAGAGAACTTTTTTTTTTTGGTTACATAAATTAGCACTTAAATGGGTTATAGAATGATTGCAATAATATTATGAAATGCTTGAATTTCCTTAAATTTTATTTGAAACATTCTATTCTTTAAAAATTATTGTTAATTAAGACAAGAATTGTATTCTCTTTATTCAACAAAGGAGGATTGGTTTCTTGAAACTCTACTTAACCCCAATCGTAAATACTTAATAATAGGGGAACCTGAAATAAGTGTCTCATTTTCTAAAATTTATTATTAATTAAGTAATTGTACATTTTTTATTTAGTGAAGAACGATGGCGTGTTTAGAAACTCTAGTAACCTCGATTCTAATACTTAGGGAGCCTTGGTCAAGGGCACTCAAGGACTTTGATTTTAATACTAGTGGGGAACCTTGATTAAGGTCCCGCAATACATTGATTCCAATTCATGTGGAACGGCTTGTTCCATGTAGTCGAGAACTTGATCCCAAAAGTTTGAGATTATTATTTTTTGAATATTTTGACTGTTATATTAAATAAGGATAAAATTGCATAGGTATAGGCTACCCACATGCCGGTTGCCCTGTATAAAAACCCCAGAAGGGCGGAAAAAAATGATATTGCGTTAGGTCACAACAAATGCTATAGAGTCAGGAGGCATTAGACAAAAGTATCAAAAAAAGGGACGGATGCATAAAGTTTGCTGAAAATGTCCCATGTGGATTCGCAATAGAGGCTTCCGCTAGTGTAGCACCTAGTCTAGGGAGGGTGTCGGCTGCTGCATTTTCTTCCCTCCATGTATTCCTCCATGAGTCGTGCACATTCTTGCAAAGGTCGTTTTTGGAGTCTCCCTCAATGAGTAGGGTTGAGCTCCAGTTGGGGTTGAAGTTCTAAGGGCCTTCTAGGAGGCTAGGGCCTTGGCTGAACTGGATTCGGCATATGCCCGATTGAGGAGTAGGAGATGAGGGTACAACCATTGTGGTCTCTGAAAATGCCCCCAATGCCCGTTGGACCTAAGTTACCCAAGGAGCAGCCATTGAAGTTGAGTTTGTCCTCAACATGTTCAGGCGGCCTCCATAAGGAGGTGCGTGCGGTCAGGCCTTAAGTTTAGAAGAGCCTCCCAATCTTGGTGAAAGTTCGCGTAGGAGAAGTGCTTGAAAGAATTGCTATTTTTGGCCCAAAGATGACAAGGGATTTGATCATATCTTTCAAAGCGCCGATTGTTGTCCTCTTGCCATGGAATATCTTTTTTGTTTCTCTCGGTCCAAATGACCCAAAGCACGACTGCTATGGAGGCCCTCCACAGGGGGATCCCGGACCATGACCAAGGTGGGAGTGGATGAAAAGTTTGAGATATTTGGATCTCCAATGGGTTGGGATCTCGATACCTAATATATGCGTTGTATCAGTGGTGATGCTCTTACCATTGGGATCTTTTGGTCTATTGTGTTCCCCCCTTCGGACAAATTACTCCCGTACTTGCTCACCTATGATGTCATTCTTATTTGTTATTTTATTTCATAATATTACATCCCTGGATTTTTAAGGCATATATGTAGTTGTACATACCCTTACATCAAGTCTTGTAATATTTAATCACATAGTGAAGATGCAACCCCATACATAGTGAATGTGGGGTCCACACTGGTCTCTCTTGCTATCCTTTTGTCTCTCTCTTCTCGGTGACAAAGTATCATAACTTACAGTCACTTCTCTAATTTCTCTATAATGCTGAAAAAACTCTTTGCTGATTCATTCACAAAGTCACATAGGGGAATTAGACGTATAATTTGTGGGTAACTGATATAAACCTAAGCATTCCTTGCTTTCAGGTGGTATTCCATGCCAGATTGATGAGGAGAATGTCTAATATGTATCTACATCTTAGATATCCTTAAACCAGTTTTTGAGAGATGTGTTTGGGGAGAAGTGCGACGGCCAATGTGGCTGCAATATTCCATATCACGAAAACCCAATTATCAAATTGAAAGGGTCATTGCAACCATCTGAATGATTGAGCTTTTGTGGCAGGGCTTGCATCGAAATCGTAAATTATATTTGCCTGGTCATCTTTTGGCTGCCTTCTATATTAAAAGATTGAGCTTCTAAATACAATTCTGTTTGTCTTCTTAGGCCTGAGAGTGCCTCTTTAACACACGGTTGAATATTCTTGAAATGATGATGCACGACCAACGGGTTGGATCCTACATGAGTCTGACAAAGGTTTAGTGGGCTATATGTGAGGTTTAGAGTCAGCAGCGTTTAAGGTAATCTAAGATATCCTATTTTTAGTAGCAGTGAATAATTGGAGGTCTTAAGGGGGTTAGGACTAAAGGTGGGATGAGGGTTTGGTGAGGTTGAGGTAATGTTTAGGGTTTGAAATAGAGGGTTTAATGGATGTTAAAGTTGCTAGAATTTATCAGGTCCAGTAAGATAGGAGGATGAGATGGATTGTAAGGTTGAATTAGGAAAAGGTAAGTGTTTAGTTTGTAGCCTCTGGAGGTTGTGTATTTGGAATGAGGGTTGTAATGGCATAAATTACTTGAGGGTTGGACTGCTTAAACTAGGGTTTATGGTAGATCTTGAGTCAGTGAATTTTGTTTTGGGAAATCTTAGACAAGGATGTGCCTCAAGAGGGGAAAGAAGGGGGATGCAAGCTTCTGTGGGGAGAACCTCCAATTGACAAGCTAGGGTTTTGAGTAATCTTGCTGTTAAAAGAATAAAGAGGGCTATAACCTTTGCGGGAGATTTCCAAACCTAGGCTAGAGTTGTAGAACATTTTCTACAAAAAGATAAGGAATCTTTCTCTAAACGTAGCCTCACCTCACACCATAGATAATAATTGCTTGACTTGATTTGGTTCGCCATATAGACCCACATGGGTGTTTGTAGACGTTTGAATCCTTCTTTATTTGACTGAACTTTAGTACCCAAGTTATGTCTACTCCTACGCTTCTTAATCTTCTAGGTTATTCCGAAATTAGTTTAGTTCCTTTATAGTTTCAGAGAACCATACCTTTACAATACATTGAAAGAATCATTCTAACATCTTAAATATAATCAGGAAACTAATTTAACTTATGAAACAGAGAAAGAAATAATTTACTAGATTTGAAGAATCTCAACTGTCTAATTTATGGAGCTCACAATCTTCTAGAAGATTGATCTTTCTAGAAGGTGGTCTACCTTATAGGACTCAGTAATGGAATGAAACCTAATGCCCTAAGGAAGTAAAATTTGTTACTGATTTTTTCAGCAAGCTTTTGGCCATAAAGCCGAAAACATCCGAATTATGAACAACCCACAGAGATAAGGGTCTTATCACTTGAAGAAATCTTGAACTGATGGTTTGAAGTACCCCAACAGACATCCTGGTGAAAATTTGTCCTTCGAAAGCTGACTGCATCAGAAAATCTTCTATTCATCAGTAATGATTGTGTTACAAATTAGTGCAAACTTGTGCTACGGTTTTATTTGTTTACTGGACATAATGCAAATATAAGAGATGATTGTCAGTTAGTTTAATCATAAAAATGACACGTCTAATATGCATATGTTCTTTTAAGCAGTGTTTTTACAAGGACTCCTGCTCTGACTCACTTGGGTCCCCAGCCCAAGTCACCCAATATAGAACTGCATAATTCTGTTATGATATTTTCAGTTCTTCAATGCCACTTGTGAAATGTATCATTTTGTTTATCCCATCCTACTGATAGAGGTGATGTTATATGCTTATCTTATTATATTGATATCTTAAAACCTGTCGTGACTTGGTGCTTGTCTCGCATGTTTTCAAAGGCATGTAATTGTTTGTATTATTTTATCTTTATTCTTTCTTTTGAAGCTAATGTAACTTTCTATATTTCTGCTAGATGTGTTTTTGTGGATGCTGGTGTATCATCAATTGATCTAGAAACAATAAAGAAAAAGGAAGAGTTGAAGGCAAAGGAAGCACATGCTAGAGCTGTAGCTGAGCATGGGGAGTTAGCACTGATCGCAGTTGATGGTCCAAAAGCTGTTGCTCACGAAAAGATACCCTTGAGACCTCCATTGCTTCAGGTCTGATAATTGCAATTCTTATGCTGCGTTATAGTTTATAATGTATTGACATGCTCCAGAATCACATATACTTAAAGCTCTATATTATGTTGTTCGATGATATTTATTTTTAAGATAATTGAATGTTGAGGGCAATTTAGTATTGACCAATAAACCTTAAATCTACTATTTATTTATCCTGCTTATGCTGGCACATTTCCACCTGTTTGTCTGTTTGTTTTTCTTGAACCCTACTTTTGTTGAAATCGCCACAAACTAGCACCTAAACAGAAAAAGTTGGGTTGAAAAAAAAAAAACTTATTTTTCCTGCATTACAGAGTAGTGCTAATACGACTACTCGTAGGGTGGTGGTCCAAACTCATCCTAATATAATAGTAATTTCCACATGTGATTCTTACGTGGTTGATATGCTTCACTAAGCTTCCCCATGAAATCATGCTTCTATTTTTTAAAGTTAAAATAAAAATTCTGTTTATATTCAAAGAGATGACCCTCAATTTTTAATACTGATTTTGAAGCGACATTACTTGGTCATTTCTTGGTTTCTATACAGTATTATCTGTTTGTTTATTGTTTCTTACTGTATCAGGCCAAACTATTATGGTGTTCTATACTTCTTGGTTGTTAGTGAAAGAGGACTATGTGATCTAGCACAATATGTATAGTTTAAAGTTTTCCTTTTTTTCTCTTTTGCAATACCTGCTAGAACACTTACAGATGTCCAAGAATTTACAATCTTTGTTAAAAAATAAACTCCAATACAATCTAGGATCTTCTCTTGCATACCATTGCTTGCATACCATTGCAATTCTATATAATTAAATAAAAATACAATGCATGAAGAATCAAGAAATAAGGAGCCATTAGAATTACCGAATACCTTGCCTCAAGTTACCCCCAAGGACTTCGTACACCGACTTTCCTCTATCAATGGTGCACGGGTCTTGGTCTTTCTTGAATCTCAACAAATGAAAGCTTTGGCTAAACCCTCTTCTTCAAAGTATGAGAACATGTGTGTGCACAACATGGGGCTTTTCCTCTCTTGAGTATGTGGGGCGTGTCCCCCTTTCTTTATAGACCACCTAGGGGCGTGCCCCCTTTCTTTCTTTTAAAAACCTTGGAGAATATGAGAGGGAGAGATGGGAGTAGAGAGAGGGTGGCGTGCCACCTTAGGAGGAAGAGGGAGAGGAATCAAATTCGATGTAGGTAATGGATCTCCCAATGTGATGTATTTATAATAGAGAGGCTAGGTTTGGAATTTAGGGTTTAGCCATCTTTATGGAGATTTGATCTTGACCATATATCATAGGTGACCTGTGGGGTGAGAGATCTTAGCCATACAATCTTTAGATCAGTCATCATGATCTAGAACCTTATCCCTTAGTTTCTTTAACCTAATCCCATCAAAATCTCTTTCATGGAAAAGTGTCACCTAATTGAAATTTGTCATATGATTTTCAATCATCATTCTTTCTATTTTGAAATCAATCAATCATATAAGAAAAATGCAATTGTACTAAGGCACTCCATCTCTACTAGTGACCGTATCCCACACTCACTTTCTTAAATTGACCCAATAGTTTCCATGACCCACAGTCCATCTCAAGGGTTCATGATTGGACCATCAAAGCCTGCTAATAGGTGATGAGAACACAGTTGTAGTCTATGGACTACAGGTTCCCCCTATGGTCAAGCCTAGGTCACACAGACTTGTGCACACTTATCGCAATTGGTGCATGGGGGTTATCTCTTGCACATATACATGTTACACCCTCAATGGATATAACATTTGGAATTAAAATGGAATTTAGGGTTTAGCCATCTTTATGGGGCAGCAGTGAGATGGTTCATGACTCCCATAGAGGCTATATCCAATCGCACACACCGGTCACACAGTCCCTTAGCCAACGACTTTGGGCATCTCTCCGACCTCTTACCCTAAACCCTCCATGGTTGTGTCTCATGCCCAGAGATAAAAGGTTTTAAACTCAACCCAACCTAGCTCATTAAGTCTAGTTTGAGCTTCGGCATCAAAATTGCCATAGTTGGTCCCCTTGGACCGTACTCCCATTGGAGTATCATATCACTAAGGTCATAATTTTACATGCTTTCATGGGGCCTTTAAATTGTCACATAACCCCAACATCTCCCACTTGGCCTTTGAAGGCCCTACAATCTCTCTCTTACATTGTCATCTGCCCATTACAATCTCTCTCTCAAGCATTTCTCACTTATTTTCTCTCATGCTCCTTATATAACCTGGTGAACTCCTTCACCATCAGTCCTTTCACTAAGGATTCATGGATATAGCCTCTGTGGGAGTCATGAACCATCTCACTGCTGCCCGGATCTTGTCTCGAATGTAACCATAGTCCATCTTTACGTCTTTAGTCTTAGGATTATGAATCATGGACTCGTTGTCGCATAATATCTTCATACACCCTCATCGCATGTGGTCGTATTTCAGCAACTGAAGGAAGATCTTCAATCATGCTGTTTCCTTTCGTAGCCAGACAACCAGTACCACATATCCAGGTTTCACTGTGGATTGCATTGCCGTATATTGTTCCAGCTGCTCCACCAAGTATAAGCAAGTACTCCCACTAGAATGTTAGATTATCTGGATCCCCTCGGCAGTTTACAGTCGAATACATGTTATAAAATTGACTCAAAAGGGCAATATAAAGACTCAGTGTGGGCCTCAAAACATTTTGTTAAGAAGGGATACAAAATCATGACATTCACGTCACCAAAACAGTCTTCGTTTTAGAAAACAGCTTTTGAGCACCCTTCAGTAAAATAACCATGTCTTTCAAACCATAGGGATTTTGTCCATGAAATTATTATTTTTTAAAGTAAGACTCAATTTCAGTGAAATACAGTCAGATATTCCCCCAAAATAAAAATATTTACTTGGTGGAAAAATTCATAGAACATAATATACAGTTCTTGGATTTTGCAGGATCATAACTAACACCCCTCAATGATGTGTCCACGACTCTCAATCCCCACATGATCTCCCATTGAAATTTTGCAGGGAAATACTACTTCAAAAAAAGACAAAATATCACTGGGGTATACCCGAGAAAAGTACCTCATCATCTAGGTCATATCAGTGCGCCAAAATAGCACAAAAACCCTTATCTGCAGAGTGCCTTTCTGGGTTGGAAACATGCCAATACTTTTTCTGGAGGTGTATCACTTGACCACAAAGCCATTGGCTCTCAAGTTTCTTGATTCAAAACTCACAAAAAAAACATCCAAAGAAAAATCAATATAGCAGCAAGTGATTAAGCTCTGATATTAATGAAAGAGAACAATGTAATCTACCACAATATGTATAGTTTAAAATATTTCTTTTTTTCTTTTTCTTTTGCAATAACGGCTAGAACACTTACATATGTCCAAGAATTACAATCTTTGTTAAAAAATAAGCCGTAATACAATCTAGGATCTTTTCTTGCATACGATTGCAATTCTATACAATCAAACAAAAATACAATCCATGAAAAATCATGAAACATGGAGCCATTAGAATTACCGAATACCTTACCTCAGGTTACCCTCAAGGACTTCGTATACTCCACACCGGGTCTCCTCCACTTGGCATACGAGATCTTGGTCTTTCTTGAATCTCAGCAAATGGAACCTCTGGCTAAATTCTCTTCTTCAAAGTATGTGACCACCTAGGGGTGTGCCCCCTTTTCTTTTTTTTTCTAACTCTTAGAGAGTATGGGAGAGAGAGATGAGACTAGAGAGAGGGTGGCGTGCTACCTTAGGAGGAAGAGAGAGAGAGAGAGAGAGAGATCAAATTAGGTGCAGGTAATGGACCCCCCAATGTGATGTATTAGGTTATGGTTTGAGATTTAGCGTTTAGCCATCTTTATGGAGATTTGATCTTGTCTGTAGATCATAAGTGACCTGTGGGGTGAAAGATCTTAGCCATACAATCCTTAGATCAGTCATCATGATCTAAAAGAATGTGCTAGAACCTTATCTCTAAGTTTCCTTAACCTAATTCCATCAAAATCTCTTTTATGGAAAAGTGTCATATGCTTGAAATTTATGTCATGATTTTCAATCAATTGTTATACTTTCTATTTTGAAATGAATCAATCATATCTCTCCATAGCTTCTAGATGGCCTCCTCAACAAGCCACCATGTAACAAAAGGAGAAATAAGGAAAGAGTGGGGCATCCCACTCAAGTGGGCCCCTTGGTGGGCCTCGATAAATTTTGGGCCCTCACAATCTTAAATAGATTTTAAAACAAATAAAATGAGTTTTTAAAAAGCATAAGTATTTTATTTTTCTATGAATATTTAAAAACCTGAAAATTCAATTTTTGCTTATGAAAATATCTATTTTGATAAAATAAAATATCCAGCGCCTTCTAAAAATTCATATCAAGTTCTCGGTAGCCTCCTCTATAAAAGCTTAACTTTGCCCCCCACTCTCCTGGGGAATCCCACTTCGGTTCTGTCCAAAGTTTGGTCCACCATAGCTCCACCCAAAGTTTAGACTTTCAACTAACTCACCTGCTCCCATAGAGCTCTCACAATGGACCACCTCCAAAAGGAGAGAGATCCCGATCCCTTATAGGTGTGCTTTGTGTCAATGTGAGGAGGAATCAAATCCCCATCTATTCATCCTCTGTTACTTTACCTACAATCTTTGGGGCCAAGTGTTGCAACTATTTGGCATCAAATGGGTCACCCCTCCCTCGGTCAAGGCCTTGATATCTTACGATTTCGACTCATGTTGGCCGAAGGCCGGAAGAATCCTTTGGAGGGCAACAATAGCTGCAACCATTTGGACAGTCTGGGTGGAAGGAAATGTTAGAATTTTTCAAGGCCAAAAACTCCACACAGTGGCACTCCTACACAAGGCAATCTCTTTGGTCACCTTTTGGGCCTCATACCATAAGGCCTTTTCGGGCATTCCAGGGATCCTCTTCCTCACTCAATGGAAAAATGTCCTTTATCACAAACCGCGTTTGCAAACTAGAACCAAGAACTGGCAACCACCGCCAGTAGGAAGCATCAAGTTAAACTTTGATGATTGTTCCCTAGGGAATCCAAGCCCCACAGGGGCAGGGGGGGTCTTCAGAGACCACCAAAGCAACATCCACCTAACGTTTTCTGTGCACCTTGGTCTCAAGGATTCCCACCACGCAGGAGCCTTGGCCCTCTTACTAGGCTTGAAAAACTTCAACCATTCTTGGGCTTGCACCTCATAGTGGAAGGAGACTCACAAAATGTCATCTCCTGGGCAAGTAAAATGTCTTCTCCACCATGGCACCTAACCTCAATTTTTGACGAAATTGATCACATTTGCAGGGCTATGGACGTCTCCTGGAAGCATATATGGAGGACGTCCAACGACACCGCAGATCTCTTGGCAAAAGAAGGAGCTAGAAGCCAAGGACAAGCTCAAGCAGGGTCCAACTCCTTTTTTGCTCTGGACCATTGGCACATAACCTAAAACTCCTTGTATATTGGCATATTTTTGCCCTGCTGGAATTTTTTGAAAGCTCCATGTAAATCAAGGTAATTGGGCGGTTTCTATAAGCCCGTTTTGTACATGATAGACTAAACGCATTTTTACCGAGTCACCCTGTGTGGGTGACTTTGAACTCTCACATCCATATAATCATTCCCCACAGCAATACAATGTTAACTTTATCAAAAAAAAAAAATTCTAAAAATCATTTAACACAATTAATTATGTTAAAATTATTTTGATGGAAATCGGATCCAACTTCATTAAGAAAAATGCAAATAGACTGAGGCACTCCATCTCTACTAGTGACCATGTTTTACACTCACTTTCACAAACTGACTCAATAGTTCCCATGGCCCACAGTCAATCACAGGGGTTCATGATTGGACCATCAAAGCCTGCCTACAGGTGATGAGAACACAGTCCTAGTTTATGGACTATAGGTTCCCCCTATGTTCAAGCTTAGGTCACACGGACTTGTGCACACTTATCGCAATTGGTGCATGGGGGTTATCTCTCGCACATATACATGTTACACCCTCAATGGTGTTTGCTTCTCAATATGGCTATCATATGTAGATGTTGTACAATGGTCATGATGAGGATTTACCCTTGTTCCTTCAGGCCCTCTAATCTCACACAAGGGTCACACCGTCTCTTGGCCAACCACTCTATGCATCTCTTCGACCTCATCAAGGGCTAACCCTAAACCCTTCACGGTTGTGCCTCATGTCCAGAGATAAAGGGTTTTAAACTCAACCCGGCCTAGCTCGTTAAGCCTTGTTTGAGTTTTGGCATCAATTTTGCCATCTTTGATCCCTGTGGACCGTACTCCCACTGGAGTTATTATATCACTATAGTCATAATTTTACATGCTTGTAAGGCCTTTAAATGGCCACATAACCCCAACGGTAAGTGTTTGTCACTTTAACCCTTCCAGGGTTGTAGATGTTGTAGATAGAATGAGCTTTTTTCTTCCTTATTTAATCAGGTTTTTTCCTTTATTGCTCTCAATGGTAAGGTTTGTCCTAAAGATCTTTTGATGGCATTGGAGGGCAAGAATTTCTTAAGTGATTCTGATCAAAGTGACCAAGCTCAGAAGTGTCCAAACTCCTTATCTGAATCAGTGCTTCTCGAAGCCTTGTTTTTTGTTGTATTGCATTGGATCCAAAGCTCTCTTTAGATGATTGGAAATTCAGAACTGAAAAAAAAATTAAAATCATTGATTATCCAAAGAGTGTGAACTGTGATTTGTCCACACCTAAATATCATTTTCTGAGCTTCTCTTATACCTTCCCAATAAAAAAATGTTTTCCTTTTTTATTTTTGAAGTTGTTTTCTGTTTAGAAAATTTATCTTTGTCTGAGAAGTGATTGACTGTATTACCATAGAATAGAGTTTGTATACAAAATCCCCCGTATGGCTACCCGCACACTGGACACTCTAAAAGGGTTTCCAAAGTGCAAACCAAAAAATAACATCTGGATCAGCGGCCTACAAGAAATTGACTGCAGGCAAAACAGATGAGATATCGGGGAGATAAAGAAGGGGGAGTGGAGAGAAATAGAGGGATATATATATATAGAGAGAGAGAGAGGAAGAGTGAGCTGGAAAATGGGAGTGGGTGGTGGACAGAAATAGTCAATGGAAAGAGATAAAGAGTAATGGGTGGAAAGAGAGGAGATAAGAGTGAGAAGAGGGTGAGATATTAGAAAGGAGAAAAGGAATGGGAGGGTTTCAAGCTGTTGGGCGCATCGTCATCGAGATGCCTGCTGCTCCTTCCTTTGTCAACCTGCCAAGTGAAATTACCTTTACACTCACATCCATACATGTTGCATCCATTGCTTGTCATGTTTCTTCTCCAAATTTCTTACTATGAAACATGTATGTTTTTATAAAAAAATAAACACAAATTCTTCTTCTGTGATCTTTGGTTATATTCTGAGAATAATTACATGAAACTCACTGACATAAATATACAATCCATTCATTTTAGAATATATCCAATGTGATCAATCAGGATAGTTGTTCGTGATCTGGACTTGCAGTCCTTCATCTATTAGCTGTTGCCATCTGCTATGGCTCTATGACTATTAACTCCATTATTCGCTCTTTTAGGTTGTAAGGTTGGCTTCTTTCCAGTATGCGCCTTCTATTCCACCATTCATAAGTATGCCAAAACAGTCTAAAATGGATATGGAGGACATGGTTCCAAGAGAGATGGAGGAACGAAAGGTCAATGAGATAGCTGTTGGTGGTGGAGGGGTGTCGGTGGCAGTCACACGTTTCCCTCCAGAGCAGAAGCGTCCAGTTGGTCCTCTTGTTGTTGTTGGTGTCAGAGATGGGGTCCTCTGGCTGATTGACAGGTAACACCTTGCTTTCATAAGAGTTGACTATTGCATAATGCTTCGATTTTTATTTTGTAGTGGTGGCCAATGATTTATTATTGGCAATCCATCACTTTGGGTTACTGAACTGTGCTAAATTTTTATTCCTACGAGCCACAGAGAATACATATATTGTATTATTGTGTGCTGTTATGTTTGTTTATCATGTGTAGAGTGCATTTTTGTAAATGTATAATATGAGTTTTTTTTGGTAGATAATGTATAATATGAGTGCTTATGTCATATGAGGTTTTTATCCTTTCCATGTTGTCAAGATTCTAGACAGATACAAATATCTGTCATGGATTTGTATGTGCGTAGTTTTATCTTTCTTGCCAGTTTCCCCAATTGATTACCTGATGCTCTATCGATTTTTATTGGATGGTAAGCACAAAGTTATCCTATAATAACGATCCCCTTGTTAGTTATCCAAAAACACGATTGTGGTGTAGGAGAACTTGAAGAACATAGAAAATTAGCAAGAAAGCACCTTGATACAAGCAAATTTTGGAGAAACCCCAATGCTTTCTCCCACCTATGGCTCAAGCCTTAGTCTTCTTTTACAAGACATTCTTTCTAATGGAAAATTATTGTTTCGGACAATATTTGCTCATACAATTAACTTTTGACCAAAAGGTCCTAACTTAAACTTAAATTTCGTAATAACAAATTTGCCCCTATGAATAGTACCCATGTATAGTATTCATAAATAGTGCTTGTGCATAGCTTCCATGAAATAAACAAAAAAATATAAAAACCCTAGAATCCCAAAAAAACTAAAAACACTAAAAATAGACCCTAAAAAAAATTATAATATACATCCTTTAAAGTTGAATAAAAATAAAGAACAATTTCCATCAGATTACCATTGGCTTAATGGGTGGATCCAATACATGATGCTTCAAGGTGGACCTTTATGTTCCATGCATGGTTGAATTTGCTGTTCTTGATCAACTCATGTTTATACTAATTACCATAGGAATTTGCTAAAATGCAATCTTCTCCAAAATCTTGGGCCTTCTTATATGAATCTTTCTTATATGAATCTTGTATGGGATGTTTGTTTCAAATGTAACCTTTTTCCATTTTCTATTGTATAAAAGTAATTTGTTAAGAGATTGCTGCACAGTTCCTAAAAGTGAGTACATCTCCAAGTTTGGTTATACTTCTTTTCCCTATCTCAGGTACATGTGTGCCCATGCTATAGCTCTTAGCCACCCAGGTATCCGTTGCCGCTGTCTTGCTGCCTATGGGGATGCTGTTAGTGCGGTTAAATGGTATATCTTCTTGACCTCTTTCATTCATAGGCTCACCCGTGTCAAGAACTTATCATGCTGCTGCCTGTTACAGGGCTAGTAGGCTTGCTAGGGAGCACCATGATGACTTGGCTCAATTTTTGCTTGGAATGGGATACGCAACTGAAGCTCTTCACTTGCCTGGAATATCTAAGAGGTTTACAACTCAAGAGCACCCTCAGCGTCAACGCATTGCCGAGTTTTTACATGGCATTTCTGAACTTTGCCTTTATAGTTGTGTTTTTTTGGCTTGCATCACATTAACCTCCTCTTTTGGTTTGCCGTCCATTCATAAAGTTATTAACCCTTTGCATAAAGATGAAGATAGTGTTTTGTTTTTTTTGTTTTTAATATATATTTTCTTTCCTAATCTGTTTAAATTTATAAATTGGATTTATAGTTTATTCCTGTTTTTCCAGGTTGGAGTTTGACTTGGCAATGCAGAGCAATGATCTGAAACGAGCACTTCAATGTCTATTAACCATGAGCAATAGCAGGCATATTGGGCAAGAAAATGTTGGGAGAGAAGTAACAGAGATCCTCAATTTAGCAGCTAAAGCAGAAAACTTAGTAGATACTGTCCAAGGAATAGAAAAATTTGCAAAAGAATTTCTCGATCTTATTGATGCCGCTGATGCAACTGCACAAGGTGATATTGCTCGGGAAGCTCTTAAGAGGCTGGCTGCTGCTGGTTCTGTAAAAGGGGCTTTGAAGGGTCAAGAGTTGAGAGGGTTGGCACTACGACTTGCAAATCATGGAGAGTTGACACGCTTGAGTGTATGTCATAATGCTTTAGCCCTTTCTTTCTAAAGAAAGCGTACACTATTTTCTTTAGGACTATGGAACTACCATGGTCCTTAGGCACAGCACTGCTAAGTAGAATGATGAGTGCTGATGGAGAGTGCGGGAGTGGGCCTGTGGGTCCACTCTCTCTATCGCCGCCCATTTCACTAGGTGGTGGTGCCTTTAGGAGTATGGTTTTTCTATATATCCTGTTTAGGATTATTATATACTTGGCCTTCCTCAATTATACTCTCATGCATAGATGGAAATCCGCCAAGTCAGGCCTATTTGCTTGCATTTAAACATGTGCCCATAGATGTGCATTGTGCAGCTACACGGATTTCATGTGTAGTCATTGAAACTCTGTTATTTGAAATTCTCACATGTTCTTTGTTTTTCTCTCCAGGTTCTAGTAAATAATCTGATCTCAGCAGGCCAAGGACGTGAGGCTGCATTTGCGGCTTCGGTATTGGGAGACAATACTCTCATGGAGAAGACATGGCAGGATACTGGCATGCTAGCAGAGGCTGTTCTCCATTCACATGTAATTTTCTTTCACATTGCATAATGTCATGGGTTTGAAAGTAAAAAATAACCGCTTATTTCTCTTTAGGCCTTTGACTTTCAAGATCTAAAGCACTACCTGTAGCTTTGAGAAAAAAGGAAGTATACCGTACACCATTCGTTATGGGATATTTGGTTGATCATGGTGGCATCCACAGCCTGTTCTGGTCACTGGTGGTGGGGTTCAGGTGTGTCTTCAGGTACTATGGGCAATCTCCCACTTCTTTTCATTGAGAACTGACCTTGGATGCCCTAGTGTGCCAAGTCCCATACACTGGTTGTGTGAGAAATGTGAAGCTGCCCTGTTACCATTACTATTTAGAATGACAATAGCCACTCTTTTATACAAACAAACATCCGTGTGTGTGTGCGTGCGCTAGAGCGGATGAGGGGGGCTCCCCAGGGGGTGGGGGGGATGGGAGGGGTGAGGACGTGGCCTCCCCTTGTAGTGACAGCTTTTGCAAAGTTCTCTAATTTGAACCCTTGACAGCATTTTCTTTCCCTCTCCTGTCTACTCATTATCATCGCCTCTGAAAATAATGTTCCTCTCTCTAGGCTCATGGACGCCCATCACTTAAGAGCCTGGTTCAGGCGTGGAACACCATGTTACAGAAGGAGCTTTCCAACATTCCCACTTACAAATTAGTCAAACTGGACCTGCAATCAGCTGCATCCTTAGAGGAACCAAAGCTAACAAGCTTAGCAGAGGCAGGCAAGAAACCGCCAATTGAGATTCTTCCTCCGGGTATGCCTTCACTACCTTCGTCAATCACAGCTAAAAAGCCACCAACTCCCACTCCTCAAGGGACACAGCAACAAAGCAAACCACTTCTCATAGAAGCTTCTCCGCAACCAAAAGAAACACCAGAGGTCCCACCTTCTGAGCCTGAAGCACCGAGTGAAACTAAGCCTGAAGCATCGAGTGAACCTATGCCTGAAATTCCAAGTGAAAATAAGCCTGGAGGACCAAATGAAACTAAACCTGCAGCACTGAGCGAAAGTGTTCCTGTAGAATCAGAGTTATTTTAATGGTTGTTACTTCATTCTTTTCTTTTTATTTTGAATGTATGTCTCACAGATTGTATATTAGTCATTCTTTGTACTGGTTTGCTGTCTCTTTTTGGTTGCTTTCTTACCTCTTTTGAAGGGGTGATGAATTTTCACTTTGATTTGATTTTATGTTGTGCATTTTATTCATGTAGTAATGCAAAGCTCATTATTTCCCGGGCATTTGGATACTTTATTTGTATCAGTTTGGATGGGGACTTCATGATCTTGTGGACAGTGGATGGTGTGAACCGTTCATTGGGACATAATATTTCCTCACTCTTTTTAATGCCAACTGGTGTTTTTCTTTTTCTTTTCTTTTTTTCTTTTTTTTTTTTGTTTCAACCTAATTTTATTTTTGAGGACCCAAAATTCCCTTGTTGAGGATGGGCTTTTTGATTGGGAGTAATATTGCCATTGTGGCATTGATAGCCATTTATATTTGGTTCGTGCTAGACTTGTGTTTTTCTTATTGAACGCATATTCTATGCTCTCTAGGGAGGCTATTGCGCATCTCCTCTCTCACTGAAAATGGCTATTTAGGAGAATATTTTTAGTCTAAAATATGGGAATACACATAATAATTACTAAATGATTATTTTTAAACAAAAATTTTGAATAATAATTACTAAATGATTATTTTTAAAAGAAAATTTTGAATTTTAAGTTTTGTGACACTTGAATACCCTTAAAAAATTGGACTGTCTTTATTAATTGAGGCATTAGTTTTATTTAGTACAGAGTTTATTTCAGAAATTTTTCTTGTTAAGATTATACTAGGAGTTGTAAAGCTTGAGATCCATAAAATATTATAGCATGTGATTTTCCCTAGGGACAGGGAGGAAATGGATTGTATCCTCCCTTGGGAGGAGGATATCTTATAGCTTTCTTGTTCATCCATAGATTGCAGCCATGATGGTCCTGCTTGCTTCTTAAGTGAGTGGCTTTCCATTAACTCACATAAATTGCTATAATCACCTGTGCAGTTTTTGCTGGCTCTATTACGAGAATAGTATTCGGGTATAACTCTCATAAATAGTGTTCCTTTGATTGCTTGTTTGATTATACTGTCATTTAGTATCCTTGATTGATAATTGATTATTTACTTGGTAAGAGAAGTAAAAGAGGGGAATTATGCACTATCCAATATTTCGCTTGTTTGGTCTGATTATATACTCATCTTGAATACTTCATTGATAATTTATTTTTGACTAGGTAAGATAAGAAAAAGAAAGGGGAGTCCTGCCTTATTTATCGTTTCATTTTTTTGTTTTTTTTTGTCGTAATTTCAAATAAAAGGATATGTTGTAATAAAAATAGGTAAGATTAGAAAAAGAAAGGGGAGTGCACTATTTATCGTTTCAGTTTTTTTTTATTTTTGTCCTAATTTCAAATAAAAGGATATGCTGTAATAAAAATTGTAGGGGTGACAGTTTTCTAATTTTGTTTTCCCTCATAGCCTAAGGATGGCAACAGGCGGGGCTAGCGTTGGCCTTGGCCCGACCTTTTTCTCATAGGGCTGGCCAAGCTGGGCGAAAAAAAAGGAAGGTCGGGCCAAGCCAGGCCAAACTGGATTGGCACTAGCTCTAGCTTGGCCACAGTTTGTGGCCTAGGCCCTATTTTTTTAAAGCGGTCACCCGGCCCATTGTCAACCCTATTGTAGCCCTATGAAATGGTTTGGGAGATATTTGTATTTTCAAACATCAATATCTCACAAAGTCTCGATCAAAATAATAATAATAATAATTTTAAAAAATAAACAAAGATCTAGAGTCACCTTGTGAGATATTTTGGCATTTTGAATATCAATGCTTCACGAGTTTTAGAATTTGGCAAGATATTTGTATTTTTTTTTTTTCTTTTTTGAATGTTAACTGGTTACTTTAGGAGGGTGGTTTGTATAAGATTGTAACTTTTTTTCTTTTTGACAAGAGTGTTGAATATTATTTAAATCATGGAGTTATTACAATCATAGTTCAAATCAAGTAGATCTATAAATATATGAAAACCTTGAAAATGGACGGTCCAGATAATGCGTTGCAAGATGCACTAGTTTTTGGGAATCAAAATCTCTTGTTTTTCATGTTCATGTATTTTTCATGTCGAGATAATTAATTAGATGGTTTTCAACATCAAAACTGCTTTTCCCGATGATTTTTTAGGTGCACTTTAATTCTACGTTTTAAGGTTGAACCTTATACAAACTTGTTCCTCTACTGAATCCCCAAAAGAAGTATTAGAAAGAAAAAGAACGAAGACATACAAAAATTATACAAAATTGGCAACTACCAACGATGATTGATGAGTACCACCCTTGGCCAAGGAGTTAGCCTCGGTATTTAGATTCCCTATAAACGTGGCACCACTTGGTAGATAAGGAAGAGAACAACTATTTAATCTCCAATAAAAATAGGATTATGTCTCCCAGGGATTTTAGTCTCCCTTTTTTTTTCGAAGCAATGACATCGGCAGAGTACCCTGCCCCCTAACCCGATATAAAGTTTCAATCCTTCCAACAATTGTTAGCAAAAATTTGATGGAGCGAGTATAAGATCAAACCTGAGATTAGAGAAGGGTGTTGTGAGGCTGGTGATCGCTCGTCTTTTAGAGAGATGTACGTCTTTTTCTTGTTGTACACATCATCTCTGTGGCTTCCCATTTTATAGAGAGAAGAAGGGGTAACCGTTGTATTTTTCCAACGGGTCTCTGAGAAATGAAAGGTTTCTTGATCTCCAACGGGTTTCTGAAGGGTTACATTCATATGGATATGACCGTTGGATGAAGGGTTATGTTTTATGTTTATATTGATATGACCGCTGGATATATGGAATTCCCATAAATGTAAGCTAAGACACGTAAGGCCTCATATCCATATATGTTAACATCTCCCACTTGGTTATGACGGCCAAACATGATAAGCCACATGCATACGACCTTTAAGAAAATATCTTGTCATGAAGTTTTTCTCACGCTTTTACGGATATGCCTCTCATAACAAACGTTTATCACGAGGATTTTCACACTAATGCGGATTTGTCATCTATCATGAAGATTTTCACTCTAATACGAATTTATCACTCATGAAAAACTGAACAAATGTCCATCATGAGGATTTTCATGCTAATGCGGATTTATCACTCATGAAAAATTATCTGACATAAGCATTTTTAGGTCCATTATGTTGGTCTATCAAGAGGATCTTCACGCTAATGCGGATTTCTCACTCATGAAAACTGTCGACTTAAATATTTTTAAGTCCAATTAAGCTAGTTTATCATGAGGTTTTTCACGCTAATGCGGATTTCTCACTCATGAAAACTGTCTGACTTAAACATTTTTTAAGTCTCACTAAGCTCATGTACTTAGATAGTAGTTCAACACTTATACCCTTTGTTAATGGATCAACGATCATATCTGAGAGGGCAAGTAACTAATAGTTACTTCACATTTCTCAACTACATCTTGAATGTAGTGATATTGGACATCTATATGTCTTCTTTTGGAGTTATTTGCTCCACTTTGAAATAATTTAATTGCGGCTTGATTATCACAAAATATTTGGATCGGTTTGTCAATTATTTGCAGCTTCAAGTCATCTATGAAGCGCTTTATCTAAACGACGGAAGTACAAGCAGTGCTACATGCAATGTATTCTGCTTATTGTGTGTACCTTGCTATACACCCTTGTTTCCTATTACACCAAGAAACAGCTGCCCCTCCAAAGAGAAAAATATGTCCTGAGGTGGACTTACTATCGTCCTTATCCTCATCAAAATCTACATCTTAATATCATATAATGTCAAGCTTATCTGCTTGAAAACACATTTTTAGATGCATTATTCTCTTAATGTACTTTAGAATTCTTTTTACTGTTTTTCAAGTTTTGTACATCTTACTGCATATACCAAGCTACCAATAGCTTGTGCATAACGAATGTTAAGCTTTTCTTATCTTTCTACTAGACAATCATTCTTAGTCAACTTTACTCTAATGGTTTACAATTTTCCATTGAAACCTTTTGAGGACAGAGCCAAGATATCTCTCTTGGCTCAAACACAACAATTTTTTTTCTTATCTCTAGTTATTTTTATGCCTAGAGCGTAAGATGCTTCTCCCATATCCTTCATCTCAAGCCGAGAAGAAAGTCATGACTTAGTTTTATCAATCGTTTCTAAGTCATTTCTAACTATTAAGATATATATACTACGTATAATGAAAGTATTGTGAATTTACTCTCACTCTTCAAGACGTACACAATGGTCCAATCTATTTATTTCATATCCCATATGTATGATGGTATCATAAAATGTTAAGTAACATTGTCTTAAGATTGTTTTAAATCATAAAAAATAAAAATAAAAAAATAAAAAATAAAAAAATGTAAGATATTTTCGAGAGCAACCGGCCATCTTGCGGAACGCTCACGGCATAGCCACGTATAGAACTGCGTGGGACCAGCAAAATTGTGAGTCCCGTTGGCTGCAGAGGGAAGAGGAGTAGACAGTTGAATGTGGGTACAACTTCATTTGTGAGTCCCACTTTCCTTTCTCTCTTTCTAAAATTGATCAGTCTCAAGGGCAGTGGATCATGTGCAAACAGCAATGCTTTCATTGAAATTCATCCTTGAAGCCCAATTTTCGCCAGAACCAATTCTTAAAAGCATCTTATTCATATTGATTTTCAAGCAACTGATCAAATTTATTTTCCACTGGCTAAAAGTGGATTGACCTCAGAATCATCCAAAAGCACCTGAGAGGAATTATTTTGAAAATTTCCATTGGATTTAACACTTCACATTTCGCGTTTATAGTAATCTCCCATATAACTCTTTGCCAATACACCATTTTCCCCAGAATTTACACCGATAAACACCTGATCAGGTTTATTTTCATGAAAATCCCTAGGAGACAAAGCAATCGAAGTGTCTATACCAGAATTTTGCCAAAAATGTTCCACCCCACTTCTCTCCACTACTATTTATCATCAAAGTTTTGGGTTTTCTACTCTAATTTATACCGGAAAGCACCTTATCAGACTTATTCTGACCAAAACCAATCACAGCGAGAGGAGATGATCTCCACTGTAGTTTAAACCTGAGAACACCCCATCATTGTCACCAAAATCCATCTCAGGAAATGAATTTTTCTCATAATTCGACCACATTTATCCTCACCATTTTTCATCGAGGAGA